TGTTCTCTAAGTATAACGGTGACCAACACCCGCTCCAGGCGATGGTAGCAAGACCGAAGGGTACATGGAAGCGGCTCCTTGGTATACTGGAGTTGGCTGAACTCAGATTACATGGAGCCTGGGACCGGGCATGGTGGATTTCTGGCTTGACACTTGGTGTGAGTTTGGTCCCTTAGGCACTTTGGTTCCAACGGATATGGACAGACCTCATTTTTTGGTGGCGGAATTCTTTAGTCGAGAAGGGTGGAATGGGGACAGACTAAAGCAGTGGCTTCCTTGCCATCTAGTGGATTTGATCTTGGAGACTCCTTTCGACCTTGATGGGCAGGATCAGATCATATGGGCGGGGTCGGCGACGAAATGTTTTCATTGAGTTCGGCATGGGAGCTGTGTCGACAAAGTAGAGGTGGCTTCCTGATGCATGGTTGGTTTGGAATAGGGGTGTTCCGCTGAAAATATCTATCTTTGCTTGGAGACTGCTGAACAACTTTGTGCCCTTGGATTCGGTGCTGCGTCGAAGAGGTCTGCCCTTGGTATCCAGATGCTCCTGCTGTCTCGCGGAGGAGGAATCGGTGCTTCACCTTTTTGTCCGTGGACCGGTGGCGAGGGAGGTCTGGGGGCATTTTGCTACTATGTTTGGAATGCTTCACCTGCCGTTTGATGATCTTCAGCTGTTAAGGAGGAAGTGGGCCACATCGCCTCGCATCCCTGCACATCATATAAGATGTGTCCTCCCGCTATTGGTGGCATGGTTCATCTGGCAGGGATGAAATAAGGCAAGATTTGACGGTCAGGTTTTTTCTACTTGGAGGGTCACACGTGAGGTCATTGCTTTCTTATATGACGTGGGAAGAGCAAACAAACTTGAAAAGGCTCAGTTCTATAGGGATTTGGATTGTGAATGGGCAAGACTAACATCTAGGGTGGCCCGTAATCGGTGGGCAGTGGTGGTTACATGGACAAAACCTCCAGCCTTGCGGTACAAACTAAACACAAATGCTAGTGTGACAAATGGGAGAGCTAGTGGGGAGGGGTGCTACGCGATTCCAATGGTAGACTTGTGTTTGCTTTCTACAAAGAGTTTAGGGAGAAGGGGGTACTGCAGGTTGAGGCACTTGCAGTGCGGGAAGGGCTGCTAGTGTGTGAGGCAAAGGGGATACGGGTATATTGGTGGAGGTGGACTCTGCGGTCCTTGTGTTGCTAGTCAAATCGTCGGCTCTGGGAGGTTGGTCGTATTGCAGTTTGCTGAGAAGGATTCGTTAGCTTCTGGATTAGGTATCGATTTCGTTTATACATGTCTTCTAGGAGGCAAATCTGGTTGCAGATCGGTTAGCGGCTTTACAGGGATACCCCAGTATGGTCTTTGACTCTCTTCAGCAATTACCAGGGGAGATCCGCCGTTGTCTGGCTATGGATGCTACAAAATTCCCATCTCTTAGGCTAGTGCCTAATTAGGTGCTAGGACTCAGGATTTTTATTCTCTATAACTTGTATAACGGTCTCTTTTTAGTTTTGAAATAAATAAATAAATTGTTCTTGTAAAAAAAAGTCAACAAATCTTAGAGACTACACAAGTTAGAGGGATCAAACAATTGCAGATTTGATTTCTAACTTAATAGTAGATTATAACGAATAATAAACTAGTGGACCTCCTAGTGATTAAACGAAACAATCATAAAGATATCTACAAAAGAACATTCGATACTCAAAATATAGGTTGAACAATGAAAACAAATTTGATCTCACAATTAATTTTATTAAACCAAAACCTTGATTACCCTTCAACTAGATAAGAAAAGCCTAGCCGCCCTCCCAAAGGAAAAATGCAGTCAAAGTAGAAAATAGACATCGAGAAAAGTGAGCTAGAGAGAGATCAATTATTCCTGTTGATCTTCCTACTCTGCCCGAATGATAAGATACTAAAGGAAAAAAGATAGGAGATATATTAGAGAGAAAATCTCTCAAATCCTGCCAAACTTCTTCCCAAAAGTTGGATTGCAACTAGCCTCTCTTTTGATTGGCCAATGTTTAACCATTTGATAATGTGAGAACCCTCACTTTAAAATACAATTTCACTAAACTACATGCCTTGCCTTAAGATTTAAACCACTTATTACATGTCCTTGCATTATATTCTACATGTGTTACAATAATTCCCTTGTATTGCATTTCATTTCCTCTACTTGAATTAAAACATTTCTTTGAGTTGATTTTAGTTTAATTCACCACTTGCATTTTCACCAAATATTCTTTTATTGTGGTTGGGACTTTATATGATAGTTTAGAGGTGTTAAATAGGTATTGGAACATTTGGAAGGGTTGAAACATCATTAGTCAAAAATTAAGAAAGAAATGGACAAGAATTGGGCCAAGTGGCCAAACCCTAGCCATGCATTTTGTTTGACCAAAGGTTAGAGGAAATTTAAACCATTCTTGGCTCTATTATTTCTTAGGTTGGCTGAATTCTTGAAGCTTCTCAAGAAAGAGAGAAAACACCATTTTTCTTGCTTTCTAACCCTAGTTTGATCAAGAGCTAAAATCAAAAGAAAAAGAGTTTGAGTTAGTAGAGTGAATCTCCTCCAACCCTAGAGTTTGTTTCAAGCTTAAAGCTTTCATTTTGGTGGATTGTTTTGGTGGTTCAATCTTCTTACAAGAGAGGTAAATGATCTTTAAATTATAGTTCTATGGTGTTATATCATGTACTTTAAGTTTTAAAGGCAAACTACAAGTTGTTTTGGATGAGATTTGGGGTTAATCTCTTGAATTAAACAAGTAGTAGTTTGGTTAGTTAGTATACCTACCATGTGTTTGATGAAATGTTTAAACTTTGTTCATGGTTGTTTATAAAGTATTAACATGTTTTAGACCCCTTTTGAGGTAGATTTAACACTTGATATGTTGTTTGAGTGAAAATCATGAGAGGATGAAGGATTGATAAATATGTGAACTTGTGGACTGTTTTCTTTTTCCTTGGCTGACCGGTATTGGAAGGAGGGGTTTCCCCTTGATTTTTGTGGTTCATTTGCACCTTAATCATGCTTAAGAAACTTGGCTAGCCATTGGTTAAGTTCATGCGTGAGTTGGAATGAAATTTAAGCAAGTAAAGTGGTTAATTGGACCACTAGTGCACTGTTTTGGTTTCTCTTGATGACTAGAGTGCTATGGTCATTCTTAATCATGTTGATGTATTACATTTTGAACTCCAATGGTACTGGTGACTTGAATCCCTGTATATGAACATTAGAGGACTGATTTGGGTGAATTTGAACTAAAAGAAATGAAGATAGCACCAAGAACTAATGTAGTTTTGCTTGAGGTTAGGGATGATCCAGAGTTGGAAAATCAGCCGAATTATCTGAGCAACTGGTACTGATAGGAGACAAACTACAGTGTGAATTTGGTACCGTTGGAAAGCCCTTTGAGTCTAGTTTCCAATGCCACTAACGGCATCTAATTCCGACCTTCCTACAGTGAGATATAGCCGTTTTTCCAAAATTACGCGGGCGCAACTGTTTTACCCGTGAAGAACCTTTTGAGCTTGAATGAAACTTTTCTTTTGCCAAACTTTCATGCACCTACCAAACTTGTTTTCTCCTGCACTTTTACTGTAATTTGGACCTCATTTGCATGATTAATTGAGTAGCTTTAACTACTCACTTGATCACTTAATGAGCCTACAATTGAGTAAGAAATGAACCTAATTTGTTAATGATTTCATTCGTTGCCCTAGGATTGGAAAACGAAGGTGGTCGTAACTGAGATACTTGACGTTTGACTACTGCATTGCGTGATAGGTGAGTGTTCCACTCCCATGATTTGTGCTTAACCTGGTTTATCTGTATTTGCAATCCGTGACGTGTTTACCTGTGACTCTTGTTTATTCTATACGAGACGAGGGTATACTTTATGTACTTCAATTAGTTGATCATGTATGCGGACTTGCTTGCATGTGAATTGAGGTCATCTGGTGAGGTATAGCCATTGTGCTAGCCTGTTATGTTGTCCAGCACCACCAGGGACGAAATCCTAAATTGAGGTCCTCTGGTGGGGTATAGCCGTTGTGCTAGCCTGTTGTGTTGTCCAACACGCCAGGGACGAAATCCTGAATCGAGGTTCTTTGGTGGGGTATAGCCATTTGCTAGCCTGTTGTGTTGTCACCGCCCGCCAGGGACGAAATATCTAGAACTATAAGTCCAACCTAGGGCAAGTTGATTGAATCGGCCCAGTAGGTGGTTGACTGGTGGACGGAGATCGGTAAAAGTGGTGTTCTACGGATTTCATATTCTGTGAATAGAAATGTTGAGAGAGAGTCAACGGATGCATTTGTGATCAAGCTCAAGTGATTTTGGCTTTTGAAAGCCACCCGTATCCTTGAATTAAACTGTGATTAAATTGTTATCATACTGTATGGTCTCTACTTGATTATATTATGATCTCTACTTGATTATAATATGCCCTTATTTGGCTATGTGCTTACTTGTTTGCTTGGAATCTCACTGGGCTTTAGCACACTCCATTTCTCTTTATTTTCCTTAACAGATCAGGAATGGACTTAATCAAGTTAGCTTTATTTTGCCTTAAACTTGTATTTTGAGATTTGTATCTTTTGTTTGAGAACACTAGTAATCTTGAATTCATAAGTTCGACTTATACTATGTAAATTAAGTGTGGAGTGGTAAGTTGACATTTTGCTACATATACTAAGCTTTGGATAGTTGGCGTTGTGATTATGTTTCAATTAGGGTTACACCCCCTTGCTTGGAAGGTAATTCATCAATTTTATTTGAGTTGGTAGTTCTTTGATCGACCGAGCTCCGGCGAGAGCCGGGTGGGCAGCTCGCTGATACCGCAGAGTTCGTCCTAGGGAGAGGTGGAGCTGTCACATGTGGTATCAAAGCCTAAGTTTGAATTGGCCTGTGCGAGTTAAAAATTTTCGACTTGAGGATTATATTTGATTATTTCCCTTAAGAGTACTTAAGTTTATCTACACTTTGTGTAGGATGGACGGATCTAGTAGCCCTAGCGATAGACCGGTTGGCGAGAGGTCCCGTGAGGACTTACCGATGATTACATACCAGATCAGGCCCGGAGGAGCTAGAGCCTATTGGAGCCCATCTGACCGCTATAGGCGTTGCGAGCGTCGGCATATTTACACTTATCCAAATGAAGTAGTTCTGGCTGTTGTGAAAGAGCGGAAGGTCCTAACGAGGGATAATACTAGGCTTGGAATTGAAGTGAATTACCGAAAGGAAACTATAAAAATGCAAGCCGAGCGGATTAAGGAACTTGAGTATGATGTGGGCAAGGGCTGAGAAAGGGTTGATGACCTGTGCACGTAGCTTGGAAAAACTCCAGAGCGCATGGTCAAGAGGGCAGGAAAGTGAGGAATAGAGCAGACTCTATTCTAAATATTTGTGATGATCTACTGGGAGAAATGAGCGATGAGGCTTCTCACATTGGAGATGACACATGAGTTAAACCCGCCCAGAGCGAGGGGTCGGCCAATCCCGCCGCGGATTAGGCCTTCACTATTAGGTTACTATTGTGGATGATATTGACTACTGTACATAGAAAGGATAAGGGGTGTGGTGACTCGGTGGTTGTACAGCTTTTTTTTTACTACTTACACTAGGGTTTCACTTGATATGACTGTATGACTGTATCTGCACTTTTGAGACTAGTACTTGATACTTTTGGTCTTGTTATCTTGTAAACAACTGCTATGAGCCTTTGAATGTATAATACTGTGACTTTGACTTTGACTGTGACTTTGACTTTGACTTTGACCTTGATTTTGACATGGACTTTGACTTTGTTTCGGCATTGGCGTTTAACTGCTTTGCATTTTCACTTGCTTATTGTGACTCCGATTTCATTTTTATTTGACTTTTAAATATGAATCAGTATCTGATATATACCCATACTTGCTTACCCCGTTAGTTATATATACTTGGGCCTAAACCAGTGAGTAATAATGGAGACTAGATGACAACGTGGTTGGGGCCATGGGCCTAGATCTAGGCAGGCCAGAACCAAGAGGAGAAACAAGGTTCAGTGGCAAACCAAGACTAGGGAGCCAGAGGTGAAGAAGGGGGCTATATAGCTACAGTTATCAATCGTATGACTGATTACTGGTCCGTTTGGTTGACCAACAAGGTCAAGTACTTGGTAACCAACAAAGGGACCCTGGAGTAGGTGAAGATAGGGCCCTAGAACGGTTCCAAAAGTCCGCTCCTCCTAAATTTCTTGGAGGACCAGACCCAAAACTGCCGAGAACTGGTTTGAAATAATAGAAGATATTTTTGCTGTTTCGCGTGGTCCCTGCGCAGAGTGAGTTTGGGGTCAAGTGGTGTTATTGTCCCGATTATGTGAGTAAGTGGAAAGGACTAGGAGCTCTTTTTGGACGTAAGTTATGAATCATGACTGTTATAAGCGTAAACTCTTTATCATGGTACTTGGGGAAAATAGATATGTATATCAGGTAGGAATCTCTAATGTGGGTGATTTACTCTTGGGACCGGCCGGCTCGAATTGTGAATTATCTTATTGTGGATTCTTGTACTTGAGTACCCAAAAGTAGAGAGCACTAGATAAGGGTCTGTATCTTGATTGCACTTGAGATAAGTTTTGATGACAAAAGTCAAGGCGCGAAAGATTCTAACAGTTGACCTAGTAATTGGACTGATTGAGGGAATGGATCTTGGAAGGATATTATGGACTAATCTAGTAATAATCTGGTTAGGGTTTCAATAGACCATAGATAGATTGTAGTTTACGTCGAGAAATTTGCACTGAAGGCCTGTTTCCTTCTCCTATGACTGTAGGGACTTGATAAATGTTTACTGGATTGGGAGGCGGTATTAACTGCAACTATATAGGTATTTTCACCTCTTTTGTGATATCTAATACCTGTAGCTTGGAATAAGAATACTTCGAGAAAATTGAACTAATGCACCAGAACATAGAATTGAAAAAGAATACGAAAAGATTCCAGAAGAGGTACGGAATAAGTTTGAATTAGTGCATTTGCCTAATCAAATAGCATCGCAAGACATTCATAGTCAAGTTAGTCCTTAGTGAGGTCTTGCCTGAAATAATTGTGATCATTGGATTCTGCGTAGTGAAATTTTATATAGTAAGCTCTATTCCCGCTAGGAACAGTGGATTTGGTATCTACTATTTTAATAATTGCTATTAAATATTGGTGGTTGGACAGTATTGGATCCTTGTCCATGAGTCTATTGCTATAATTTAGTCTTTAAGTTAAGTGAAGATTTTTCGTTTGTCGTTCAAAAGAAATAAATTATTCAATGTACAGTGTATTGGTTTAAGAGCTAGTAAGAATAGTAACCAAGTTTTAACTCTTCTTTTAATGAGATTAAAGTCTGTGTCACATTCTTCACTTTGACTAAATAAAAAATTTGACCGAATTGTCTTCATTTTTCCTCTTGCTCAGCCGAACAAAGGGAGAAGAAAAACCAAAGAGAGACCTTCAACTCTAACCTCAATTTTGTGTTTGAATCTTGAGTTTCAACCAACCAATTTGCAAACTACTCCATAGAAATGCTAACTAAGGTAGATTTCAAGGTGTTGGTGGAGTGATTTTGGAGGAAGAAGCCCTAAGTTGCCATCTTTTTTGAGGTTACAAGGTAACTTTGGCTAGCAACTTTCCCTACTCTCAATATATGTAAACTAGTGGATTAAGGTAGTAATTTTGGTAGCTTTATGGGAAAATTTCAAGGGTTGAAGAACTGTTGTGGTAACATTCAGTTTTATGGTGAATTTTCTACCCACACATCATGCTTAAGTGTTGGCCATGGTCTGATAGCTTTGCTATGTGAAATATCTAACTTTTACATGCTAGTTTGACTTGCCTAAAGAAAATTGCAGCTTGTGAGTAGGAATTTCAGCTCAGGGTTTCATTTTCTAACTTGAGTAGGTAACAGTTATATGCTTGGTTTAGTGAATTGTTGGCTTGGTATGTATATACTTGAGTTGAAGCTATTTTGTGGGAAGAATGAGGCCTTGAATTGGCTGAAAAAAATTAGTAAACACAAATGAAGTGCCGTTGAAAATTTGTCCGCAGGGAACCTTGAGCAGTTTTAGGACACCTGTTATATCTTGATAAAAAAAAAATTGAGTTCTGTTTGTTGTATTTGAAACTAGATTCAGAGTACTATCAACTGTGAAAATTTTAGCATTGTTCTCAATTTCCATGAATATCTCTGATTTTGCAAAAATTGACTGAAATTGCATACCTATTCTGTTTTTTACTAGGTGAAACAGAAAATTTAGGTTGGAATTTGACTTACTTGTGAATAGGATCTTACAATGGTGCCTTCTAGAAAGTTGTATCCCTTTGAATCTTTCTCACGATACAAAGTTTATAAATTTTGGACTTAAGAAGTTCGAGATATGATTTTTAAAATGGTATCGCACAAAGCTAGAAAATTTCTATTTTCCTAGGACTGTTCGTACTTTCATTTCCAACTTTAGGATTGGAGTTGATAAACTATTTTGAGATTAGTTTATGAGTGGAATTGAGCTTAAATGAAAGGAAATGAGTTTCTTCAAATCATTTTAGGTCGGACAACTTCCAACTTTGTATTTTGAACGTCTTTTCTAATTTCTCCAAACGTTTGACTATAAGTGACACTCTTGTAATCTAAGTGACTCTGGCAACATTGATTAGTAAGTACATGAGGATTACTCCTTGATTGGAACAAGCAAGTATTATATTTTGATAGGTTATACGGGTATAAAACTTTAAATTGATGTATATTCTAAATAAAGTTTTGGAACCTCAATTTCTTCATAATATGGCTTTGTATTGCTAGTCTTTTACTATAGTATATGACCACAGGACTCGAGAGAGTTCAAGAGGACATTCACGTAAAATATGCTGAGCTATACAGTAATCAAGTTGAGAATTTCGAGGACGAAATTCTTTACGGGGAGAGAGTGTGAGAACCCTCACTTTAAAATACAATTTCACTAAACTACATGCCTTGTCTTAAGATTTAAACCACTTATTACATGCCCTTGCATTATATTCTACATTTGTTACAATAATTCCCTTGTATTGCATTTCATTTCCTCTACTTGAATTAAAACATTTCATTGAGTTGGTTTTAATTTAATTCACCACTTGCATTTTAACCAAATATTCTTTTATTGTGGTTGGGACTTTATATGATAGTTTAGAGGTGTTAAATAGGTATTGGAACATTTGGAAGGGTTGAAACATCATTAGTCAAAAATTAAGAAAGAAATGGACAAGAATTGGGCCAAGTGGCCAAACCCTAGCCATGCATTTTGTTTGACCAAAGGTTAGAGGAAATTTAAACCATTCTTGGCTCTATTATTTCTTAGGTTGGCTGAATTCTTGAAGCTTTTCAAGGAAGAGAGAAAACATCATTTTTCTTGCTTTCTAACCCTAGTTTGATCAAGAGCTAAAACCAAAAGAAAATGAGTTTGAGTTAGTAGAGTGAATCTCCTCCAACCCTAGAGTTTGTTTCTTATGTGAGTAAGTGGAAAGGACTAGGAGCTCTTTTTGGACGTAAGTTATGAATCATGACTGTTATAAGCGTAAACTCTTTATCATGGTACTTGGGGAAAATAGATATGTATATCAGGTAGGAATCTCTAATGTGGGTGATTTACTCTTGGGACCGGCCGGCTCGAATTGTGAATTATCTTATTGTGGATTCTTGTACTTGAGTACCCAAAAGTAGAGAGCACTAGATAAGGGTCTGTATCTTGATTGCACTTGAGATAAGTTTTGATGACAAAAGTCAAGGCGCGAAAGATTCTAACAGTTGACCTAGTAATTGGACTGATTGAGGGAATGGATCTTGGAAGGATATTATGGACTAATCTAGTAATAATCTGGTTAGGGTTTCAATAGACCATAGATAGATTGTAGTTTACGTCGAGAAATTTGCACTGAAGGCCTGTTTCCTTCTCCTATGACTGTAGGGACTTGATAAATGTTTACTGGATTGGGAGGCGGTATTAACTGCAACTATATAGGTATTTTCACCTCTTTTGTGATATCTAATACCTGTAGCTTGGAATAAGAATACTTCGAGAAAATTGAACTAATGCACCAGAACATAGAATTGAAAAAGAAATACGAAAAGATTCCAGAAGAGGTACGGAATAAGTTTGAATTAGTGCATTTGCCTAATCAAATAGCATCGCAAGACATTCATAGTCAAGTTAGTCCTTAGTGAGGTCTTGCCTGAAATAATTGTGATCATTGGATTCTGCGTAGTGAAATTTTATATAGTAAGCTCTAT